ACATACCAATTCTGATTGAAGTTCGAAATTGAAATGGACATTTGGACTGGAATCTAGTGGATGTTTAATTAAAATCAGTTACAAGTTAAATAGAGTTCAATGAGGAAAAACAATAGAGTTGTCTTTCCACATTAGCATTAAATTTGAAGCCAATTCCAATAAAGCACAACATTTCTCCAAGTCTTATTCGAAGCTAGGATTGAACAGGAATGATCTTCCCAAATAAACATTTAATTCGGACTCAAGTAGAATGTTCATATGATTCTATAAGAAAGAGTTGGTCCAAATCTAGGCTGAAATCCTTCAATCTAACAGGGCCGAGTCGGACGAGTAGCACGGCCCAAAAAAAAAAAAGTAGCCCGCAACACGGCCGATGCAAACCGTGTACAAGGCAAAAGGCAGGTCCAGAATACATACCAGCTACAAATCCAAGAAATACTCGAAACACCCAGAAAAGCCTTGTATGGGAAAACACTGCCTCCGAGAAATGATCACTGGTTGCTGCAGGAATAAATCCACGAGCCAAAAAATATGCGTTTTTGGCAGCTCGCACGTTGGCCGGGCGAGCGAAACCAGCGAACATGTCGCCGCTTTGAGCTGCGGACTGCTGGAACTCCGACTTCAAGTCTTGGCTGTTCCCCTTGGCATCGTCAAATTGCAACCAAATGAAACGGAAAAAGGCGGGTGCACGAGCTATGGATTGCCTCAAGAAAAGAAGTACCGGGCGAACAAAACTTTGCAGGAACTGCGGGCGACATCAGTCAACAAGAGAAGCTGCAAGACAGAACAAGAACTGCAGGCAGGCAGGCCAGCCTGATGCTAGGGAAAGGCGGGGCACGGTTGTCCGTTGTGGGCCGAAATAAGACACATTCAGAGCTCCTTGTTGAATTCCCCCCTTCAGGCTTAAACAAGGAGTGTTTGACTTTTCCCTGGGAAAGCCTCGGTGTTTAAGCCTATAATCTTATAAGTACTCCCAGCGTGAAACCCACCCTCCAAACCGCTGGGCGCAGCACTTGCAATCGCTGGGCGTTCCGGTTCGTGGAATCCTTCATGCTCATCCTGGCCCAAGGCCGGTGTCTGGATCGATTCTGCAAAGCAAATGCTGATCTTAGCTGGGCGCGAAAGAAAGCGCCTCCACATCCCAAACCCCAGCCAGTCAAAAATTCACGTCATGTAAAACACTTGACAATCCCTACGCATGAAAATCTATAGTTCAAATATCAAATGTTTCTGCCTCTGAGCTTGCCTATCTAGAATACCCGGCACAGGCAACGCGGCAACGCTCTCGCTGTCGACGGCCTACTCCGGGCATTGGTTTCGTCGTGCTTGGCGGAGGTGGGCTCCAGATTGAGCGCCTGAGGCGGACATCCAGCCCACATGTTGTCCGGTAGAGAAAAACCGAAAACTACCCCCCACCCCCCACGCCCCAAGGGGTTCTTAGGGCTCCGAGAACAGGTCTCGGGAGTAATGAGGGCGACCTAAGATCACCAACCAAACCCATGGAAGCGAGCAGCGGACTGGACTGCCCGATCCAACAAGCAAGAATATGGAAAACCTTCCTTTCTTTAGAAGGTGGGCTTGGCAAAACGGGAACGTATATAGATAGAGAGAGAGAGAGAGCGGGAGAGAGAAAGACAAGAGAGAGAAAGAAAAACAAATAACAGTGGAGACAGAGCGAGAAAGAGAGAGAGAGAGAGCGAGAAAGACAGGGAAAAAAGAGAGAAAGAGAGATCGCGAGATGTGTAGGGGAAAAGTCGGTCCATCTCATGCAGCCAGGGCACATTGATGCGCTTCATCTCAGAGATCATTCCCCTTCTGCCACTTCCTTGGTGTTGCAAGTTCCTTTGGTTCGAGGCGTCTAGTCAAATGTCTTGAAGCCTCTTCTCCGCTGAGGACGCCGCTGTCTTGCAGGGCAATGTCCTACCAAAGACAAGTGACTCGAAGACTTGCCGCTGAAGCTCTCAGTCTCCCAATCGAGCTTGCGACAGCCCGGTTAGCCCCCAGTGAACATCCCAATCCCCACTGAAATAGGTTCTGAAATAGGTGGTGCACCTATCCCAAAATGGGATACCATTGGTTTTGAACCATAGCCACATGTGGTTCACAAACCGCCGAAACATGAGAAATGTCGAGTTCTCCAATTGGATCAACCATGGCGGCTTCCGTGCTCGGTGAAGTGCCAGCTATACCAGAAGGTCAGTCCCTTCCCAAGAGGACACCAAATAAGCTAGCAGGCAATCCACTGCCCTTCGGTTTCTCTTTGGTTCCTTTGTTTTTCGTTGATTTTTTGCTCCTTTCGTTTGGCTCCTCGACTTTGGTTTCCTTTGGTTCTCCTTTCTCTTAAAAGGCTCAACGACAACTCCCTGCGCTCCGCACACCGCCGCCCGCTCCTGCCCAGGTCGCTCGGGCACCTGGGGCAGCGGCTTCAGTGCCTCAGCTAAGCGCTTCATATCACCCGAGGTGGATACACGCTTCCGACTTGAAACCGTGGCACAGAAGCCCTTTCTAAGCCAAAACCATAGCCTTCTCTTTGGCTTCCTCAAATGACCGTTTTGTTGATTCAAGGGGATGTATGAGTGTTTTTTTCAAGTTGCTGCGAGGCGCCGGTAAAACGAGCAGCTTCCCTTTTGCGCCTGTCCTTGTGGGATACAGGAAAAGATGGATTCAGGAATTCCAACTTACTGAATCAGTGGATACAGGTACAAGATGGATATAGTAAAAGATGGGGTTCTGTGACATGGGAACCTGATCTGAATCCAGTGGAGTCAAGAATCCCATGCTGATCCAAGTTGACAGCATGAACTGACACCCTTTCGGTGTCTCCGTTTGAGCAAACCCTTTGAGGCGAATTAAAGGCACGCCAGGAAGCCGCTCACGCGGGGCCCCACGCCTTGCCGCCCATTGGCTGAGCAGCGCTGTAGCGGGCCTGTGACTACGAAAAGCACTTTGATCACACTTGACCAGTAGGTGTACGATGATAAACTCAGATGCCCAATGGAATTATATGGGAAAAAAAGGGCATCCTTTTTTGGTTGAGTTTAAAGGGGAACCCTTGCAGAAGAAAAGGAAAACAGGGCGCCACTGGGCAACTGGGTAAATGGTCTGGCAATCAGCCTTGATACAACTGAGGTTGTTCCCCCCCATCGCGGGTGAATGACGTGCATTTGTTCAAAACATGCCACAGCTGCGAAACAATGGCAGTAAGTTCTATCCGCTGGGGCGTGTTGCTTCTTGTGGAAGAACTCCCCGTTTCAAAGGGAATTCTAAAAGGAAGCCACACATTTCCGTGTCCGAATTTGGAGAATTCGCCCCCAAACCCCTATCAGCTTGGTGAATCTGGGGGTCCAAGAGGATACTCTTTTTGGGAGGGAAACCAAGAGGAAACCCATGAGATCAGAGCCCTGGGATCCGGAACCTCCTCATCACCGTCTGCTCCCTCACCTTCCACCTGGCAAGCGACTCCCTGCTTTTGTGGGTGTGAGCCGATGGCTCTCGGAACCTTTACCCTTTTTCCAAATCCGAAAGGGGTCCATCACCGTTGCTAAGCAAAATGTTGATTTGACCATGGCATATATTAGGGCCTGTCTCTTTATAGTGGTGCTGGTGGGATGCATTCTAAGACCCAGCTGGTGTCGTTCGTGGTGGATCGTAGGTCAACAGATGCGAACCCGTCCTCCGTGTATGAAGTACCCGACTCGATCTCACGAGCAAGCTTGTCTGCCTGCATTCGCGCTGCGCGACTGCGCGACTCCGCGACTGAACGACTGAACGGCTGGCTGGATCAGATGGATCAAAGACGTCATGCCGCAGGATCAAATGGTTTCATGCAAGCGAGAACTCACTGAAAACGACAAACTAAGAGTTTCGTCATCCTGTCCAAGGCCTATCTCAAAACAATAAACCCTCAAATTTGGAGGGCCGAACATCCATTTTTGAGGGCATCACGGTCTCGCCGCCCTGCCTTTTCTCTCTCGTGCTGCGGGACCTGACTTTTGTCCAGCTTTGTGGTGTAGAGATCCTGCACAACAGAATGCACTCCGACTACCATGGAACCCCAAAGCCTCGAGAACGGTTCATGTTTGAGCGAAGTCTCCTTTTCGGGAAGGACCCCCCTTTTTGGGTTCCAAGTTTCAAAGGACGATCGACCCCACAACAGATCTCAAGCACGGCGAGTCATGGTGCCGATGCTCCCTTGACTTCTTGCGGCACAGGCATGCAAGTGCGACGTGCTCAGGCAGTCGGCATGACAACAGGACCGGGTCCGGTGAATAAGTGGTGGTGACACCATACCTTGGCTACCAATCATCACAGATTGCATGCTGCTTGCAAATAGCTAGCTTGACCCAGGCAAAATGGGCAAGTCAACAGTTCACTGACCAGAAATCTTGAACCGCTGATCTGGAAACATCGCTAAGGCATCTGCAACTCCTTGTTCACCGCAAACTGGTCAAACTTGCCAGGCTCATGTGCAGTGTCCTGGCATGGTTTCTGAAAGCAGTCAAAACCCAGCGCAGCATCCAGGAATTGATCGCCCTCACAGAACACCCACTTCTAAAGGTGCCAGGCCATTCTGATGCGGTAATGTGGCGCAGGGTGGGGGGCGGGGGCAGCAAGTGGCATGGCCAATACTGGTGCGCAGGTCCTCCAGACCCCCCGATGGACCATGCCCATCCTCAGCTCCACAAAGGGATTTCTATGTGGAGAGGTCCGGCACTTTCCAGTCATTCCCCTCAGTTCACCTCTCTGGTCTCTCCCACGAAGAATTCTTCAGCAGTCAGTATCATGGAATGCAAGACCGAGTGTCCTCAAGCGAGAAGCGCACATGCAAAGCAGGCTTTCGCACACCAGTCTATTGCCAAACCGAGCCATCCTCAGGCACCGGCAGGCTGCCATGGCACGAGGTCTCGGTTGGACTCGCCATCTTTCCTGGCCCACGCGACATGCTACCATGATGCCCACAAGAGCACGCTTTCCTGAGCGAGACAATCGACAGCTTCAAATACACCTTCTACAAATTCAGTGTCCGTTCCCCTTTTGGCGACGCTGTTCATCTGCCTGTCTCTGGCTGGTGTGTCAGGATACGACCATCCAGCGGATCAACAAAGCGGTGTTCTGCGCCGGAGCAGCCGCAGTTGAAGTACTCCAACCTGGCCAAGCACCTGAAGCAGAAGCGCGCGCGGCAGCTGCGGCAGATCATTTTGTGGCAGGTCTCCGACTCCTTCTGCAGACCCTCCCCGCAGCCAGGGCACTTCTTGAGGCCAAGCCGCGCCAAGGTCCTGCTGGGGAGGGTGTCGGGCACGGCTGGGACCGAGGCCCTGTTCAGTCGCGCACGAGCTCGGCCAAGAGCTGCCGCGCTCAAGAGCTCAGGCAGCGCCGAGTCCGGGACTCTCTGGCTGCAGAGGGGGCAGGAGATCTCATGAGCTGCAAGCCCCTGGGACTCCTGCTCCTCTGCCCAGAGCTGGGCGCAGGACCGGCACAGCTGCGCACAGCACGAGACAGGCGCCCGCGCCACCACGGGCTCGATGCACACCGCGCACCGCTCCGCAGCGACCTCGGTAACCTCAGTGACCTCAGCAACCTCAGCCACAGCGACCTGCGCACGCATGTTGCGCCGGGCCCAGCGCTTTGTGGTGGTCTCTGAGAGGGACAGCGCCAGCGCCAGCTGCAGCTCTGCGTCCTCCGCATCCGAAGTCAAATTCTTCTCAGTCGCCCATCGCTTGGTGGCAATGAACTGAGGAGCGAAAGGATGGGTCTTGGGCCGAGACCCCAGCATACCCGCAGGGGCCTCGCTGGCTTGCACCGATAAAACCTCCAGATCCCAGTCCAAGTTCACCGCGAAATGTACCGAGCAAAGCTGGCGGCACGCAGCCGGCACGATATCCTCCACCGCATACTGGCGCCATTGCGTCACCGATCCGGCTGCAAAGCTTGTCTCGTTTTGCTCACACCACTCGCCTTGCTGCGGGCCCCGGGCTGTCTGTGTCACCACAAAGTTCCCTTTCACCAGGCCCTGGACCACAACTGCCTGCGAGCTGGGGTTGTCCACCACCAGCAAGGCAGCCCCCTCCAGCCTCCAAATCAGCAGCTCCAAGTCCCCTTCGCCAGGAATTTGCAGACGGCTGCTCTCACCCCGCAAGGCTCCCGAGTCAGGGGACCGACTCAAACCCCAGAGCAAACCCCAGAGGCCTTGCGGCATCTCCGCCGGCTGCACCATCAAAGGCTCAGTGGATTGCAGCCGCAGCCGCCTTGCTTCGCTTGAGAAACCACACAAATTTATAGCAAACTCAACACTTCAGATTCCCGTTGCGGAGAACAAAGGCAAACTGAGCAAGTGAATGCCCTCTACGCTGGAAAACCGACCCACTCCAACAGTCTCTGCATCAAAACCGACCTTCTTTTCACAAAAAAACAAAAAATGCGTCAATTGCCCCACTGACGTCTGAGCGGCACAGGTCCGGGCCACCCCCGGAAGCTCACGGGGAAGAGCTGCAGCGCCCCCTGCAGCGCCAGGCGGCAGCTGAAGCGCTCCGTCGACCCGCCGAAGGCCACCGCCAGCACCGCGCCGGCCTCGGAGATGGCCACCAGGCCCAGGTCGTTCAAGACCTCGGCGACTTTGCGAGTGGGTTCCAACGGTTCCCCGTTCTCTCCACTTCCCTCTCCCTCTGGCACAGTTGATAAACTCTCCAAGAACGAGGTGGGGGAAGGTGTCCAAGCCGAGATGAAACCAACTCTCTGGAAGGGTCGGGACACAAGACACTTGTCTGGGAGTGGCCAGCCCGCATGCTGATTTGACACGCACTTCATCCGTTTAGGATCGCCACCGATTGAAATATTGGCGGGAAGCCCTGGACCAAATGGGATGTTGATGGCAGGGTCCCTTCTCTCTCTGGGACTCGGGCATGACCCATGGATGGCTGCAGCAAACGCGCGCCCCGTGGAGTTGGCTGGAGGCAGGAGATCCACAGATCCCCGGCCCCCGCCACCCGCAGGGAGCAGCCCCGAACGCCCAGGTTGTCCGCGGTGAAGTCCCCTTCAAAGGTCTGCATGTGGGCCAGGTTTCCGCCCGCAGATGCCGCGTGGCAGACGCAGACCTGGGAGAAGCTGTCCGGGAAGTCCTCGAAATCCACCCAGAACGAGCCATCCGCATAGGTGGACGCCTCCGCGGATCTGCCGCACAGCACCGCCAAGGCCGTCTCGTAGGAGCCGGAGCTGGCGACCCGGGGGTTCCTCAGGCGGACCTGCCTGGCCGACACATCCAAGACGGCAAAGACGGAGGAGCAGCCTGGCAGCGAGCTTCTGGCACTGCACGCCATGAGGGAGCCCCGCTGCTGCTGTTGCTGCAAGAACTCCCATAGCTCTGAAGCATCCAGCTCTTGGTTCTTGCTGCGGCTGCGGCTGCTACGGCTCGGCTGTAGCACCACCCGCTCTACAACTGCACCAGTCAATTCCTCGAGAAAGGAGTGCAAGGCCGTACCTGGGAAGGCAAACTGGTAAGCGGAGAATGCCTTGGCATAGGCCTTCTCCAGCAAAGGGATCCAAAGCTGGTTCCCCGCACATCGCCCGAAGGCCAAGGACTCGTGCAAGTTCTTGGCAGAGGAGGCGCTCATGGGAAAGCGCTCATCCACGAAGGAGGCGCGCCAGAGCCCCGCGATGCACAGCCGCACCTCATGGCAGCCGGAGGCCGTCCAGCTGTACGCCAGCAGCTTCTCCAGCGCTCTGGGGCGTTCGGCCAAAACCGCCACCGCCTCTACGAACAGGGCGTCGCCCAAAGACTCCGACTGCTGCCCCAGCCTGAGTCAAGACAGACCCGTCCCAATGTCATGAACCCCTCAAAAGGTAGTTTGTGCCATACAAAGACTGGGTGCATCTCATCACCCTCGAGACTCCAAATGGTTTGAAGTTAAATGACGTCAAGTCCAATTTTGAGAGCCAGCCACCCCACCTGGCGTCCTCCGGCCGGAACCCGTCCCTGCCCACCACCACCAGGCCAGACACCACGTTGGTGCGGAGCCGCGCCCAGGTGACGGCCACGGCCTCCCTGGAGGGACCCAACTCACCGAACCCGAAGAACCGGCAGCTCCTCAGGGCTTCGTCTCGTTTGGAGTCCTCGAATTCAGATCCCAGCGGTTGTTCCCTTTTTGCGCCGCTTTTTTGAGAGAACAAGCGCCAGTTGCTCCACAAATGCCGTAAACCTCGGCGGTTCTCCTTTTTTGCCGGGCCGAAGAGCTGGAATCTTCCGAAAAGCGCAGAAATGGCTGCTGTTTCTTGAAAAGAGATCGGTTTGCCCCAAGCCAATCATCTAACCATCCTGTGTGGGGGTTGTGGAGGTCGACCCTGTGACTTTTCTCTCCAATTGAAAAAACTGAGCTTCATCTCTGGGAGCAGAAAGCAAACTCCCTTCCCAAGGCCACAATTCCCACATGCTTGGTGGACGTAAGTGCCCAAAGCAAGGGTCCCCAATTTAACAGACCGGGTTGCACCGTGCCCTTTTTGTTGGAGACCATCTTTTCGCGAAACCACCATAAACCGCTCCCTTGCACGTTTCAAATGCAGCCAAAAAAGGATGGGGACCGTTCTGTTCCAACCCCAAAACCTATCTACCTGGGCCGAAAAAGGCCAACCGGTTGGGTTTGGACAAACCGGGTCCCCCCAAAAACGAGGAAGGCCCGCCTGGTGCCGCAGCGGAAGAAGGGCCGCCGCGCCACGGCGCCCATCTTCAGCTGCACCCGGCCCTGGCGGCTCCGGCGCCCGCAGAAGCAGCGCGGCGCGCTGGCGACAAAGTCCTCCTCTTCCGAGTCCTCGGAAGCGCCAAAAGGTGAAAGCGCGACATATGGGAGCTCATGAGGCTTCCATGAGGAGCTTTGCTTTGGTGAAGCAATTCTATCTTAACCCACCGTTTTTGGGGGAAACTTCCTTTGAAGATACCCGGGAGCCCTATTTTGAAGATAGACCCAAGTTCGGGGGCAGGGCTGCCTGAATTGGAAGAAGCACCCCCCAAGTTCGGGGCCCCAGCCTTTGGGGGAAACCAGAGGGGTTTCGAAGGGAACTCGTCAAGTCTCACCTGAGAGAATTAAGATGAGTTCGTTGGACAAGAGCTTGCAATGCTTTGGTGTCCAACGCGCCAAGCCAAGCAGCGAACTAGCCAACTCCACAGGACTAACTCCTCAAACCCCCCCAAACCAAACTCAAAAGGGTGTTCCTCCCCTCCACTTCAAAAGGGAGGCAAAAAGAAAAAAGAACTGGCTGTGGGTCAAAACCAATGCTACCATGTTGGGGTAGGTGCACCATAAAAGGGGGCAAAAAAAGAGAAAAGGGCCACCCACCCCCCCAACCCGCAGTAACTCGACTCCTCGTCTTTCTCCGCCGTCAGCAGCTCCAGCAGGGCCTCCTGGCCCCGCTTCACCGGGGGCACCAGGCCGTCGATGGCGCGGCTCTGCGCCGGGAACTCGTGGTCCACGAAGCCCTCGGCGCCTTGGCCCAGCAAAGCCGTCTGCGCGCCCAGGCGGTGCTGCTCCGCCACCGCGGCCTCCACCTCGGGTATCCCCAGTGAACATCCCAATCGCCAACCAAAATGGGATCCCAAAACGGTTTTGACACCAACAGCCATTTAACGCCCAGCCAGACCTGGAAAGCTTGGGACGCCCGCGTTTCCTCGAAACTCGCTTAGAAGCAACCAGGCCCGCGTGTTCCGCGAGAGTTGGGGGATTGTCAACCATACGGCCACTACGAAGCACAATGAAGCGTTCGCATCTCCTAAAGCTTGTGCCAGTCGTTTGCCACGAAAGGACCACACGACTTCCTAGAACGCACCCCAAGCTCCGGCTTGGGCTGTTGGTTTGGTTCTTGGTTTTGCTGGGCTGTTGGGCTGGGGGTGTCAGGGTTGTTCGACTGCTGGGTTCCACTTCTGCTTGTGTTGGGCTGTTGGGCTGTTGGGTTGTTGGGCTGTTGGGGTGGTGGGCTGTCAGGGTTGTTTGTTGGGTTCTACTTCTGCTGCTGAGGTTAAGATTTGTGGTCGGGTTCTCCATAGACTTTTGTGAAGTCGCACGCTGAGCCGGTGCGGCTTCCTTGCCGTGTCGCGTCGGATGCATCCACCTCCTGCGTCTCCCCTCCGTCTTTGCGCCTCTTCAAAAGAAGAAACCCACTTCCGGCTGACGCTATTGATCAACTTACTGTCTGCGCAACCGCCGCAACCTTTTGCGACCTTTTTGGCCTGCCCATCGGGCACGCAGCCCCGGTTGCACACCCCCGTGCTGCGAGCTTTGGCGTCAACCTTGAAGCTTAAAAACCGCTCTCCAACATCGCTTAGCAACCTAAGCGAGTATGCAAGCATTAGAGATGCTTTGGGAAGACAGGCCAATGTTGGTGGACAACAGAAAAACTTGCAAGCATTATACCATTGTGCAAGGCCAGTATTTTATTGAAATCCGCCTTTTTCTTTTTTCAGGGAAGTCTTGCTTGTTGGCACCAGATGATAGAAGGTCTGAATTTGCCAGTTTACAGACATTTCCCTATAAAAAAGGCTGGAAATGCAAGGGCGAAAAACTGACCAAAAACAGAAAATACCAGAGATGCCGGGAATGCTGGGAATGCAGCCGGCTGGCCACAAAAAAGTTCAAAAACACCATGATTGTTTGAGATTTCCTAAAATCAACAATCAAAAGCCGGTACTAGCAACCCCCCTCAAATACCCTAGAAATAGACTTCCAAAAGCACGATAATGCAGGGGATGTTTCGCAGTAACTGCTCCGTACAGGTGGGGAATTGCAAAAAACACTCATGTTTGCAAATTCAAACAGTTCCTCAACGTATCACTGCACTTGGCCCCAGGCCGATTCCAACATCGCTTGAAACAGCAAAACACCATTAGTATCTGCAAAAAAAGAAGAAACAAATTCATAGCAGCAAGGTAATCCTGATGATGCTGGGGATGCAGATCCTGCGCATCCGGGGAAACCCCCCCCCCCCAGAGACCTAGGCGAAACGCAGGTGTTTAGCACGCAAGCCCCGAAAACACTGGAAAATTACAGGGTTTTGGACAACCAGCACACCATGCCCAAAAAATGGCAGCCCCAAAAGCCTTCGGCTTTGATAAGAGATCCGAAGGAAGACCAAGTTGCGGACTGCCATCTACACGCTCGACTGGCGTCGGCGGATTTGAATGTGTCGAATCGGCTCGGGGATGGGATGCAGTGCATCAATGTGTCATGCGGGAAGGTCAAACAGGCGCACGATTTTCAGGGTCAAGCAAGCGCCCCACCGGCGGCCGAGGCGCGTCGTCGCCGCGAATCCAGCCCCATCCGTCTGATGGCTTCGCAGGCGCTGCCGTGGCCTTTGACCGTCGGAACCTCCGCCGGGCGTTGTGTTCAACCCCGCCCCGAAGCGCAAGAGAGCCCGCCCCCATCCTTGCTGGTGCGATAAGTAGGGAATTGGGAATGGTTCATAGGGGGTCATTCCCTCATTCCCTAAGCTTAGGTGTCGACAATTTCCAGTGGGGAACCCACCAGAAAGCGTGCCACTGGATGACTAGCGACAAACAGCTCCACGTGTCAACCTAATGGGGAAAAGCCCGGCAACCCCCCCTCCCCATTTGTTGTTGTAAGAAACAAAAAAACCGGAACCAGGCCCAGTGAAACAAGCCGGGCAATCTTTTGATGAGCGAACCAATTCCCAAATGGCCGTTAGTTATCTCAAGGAGCTCTTGGGTGATGTGCTGTTACAAAAGCCAACTCTCATTGGAAATTATACTTGCATTGTTGACATTCCGAGGGTATCATTCCGCGGACCACAATTGGCCCCACCTTACTTCAGAACTGGATCTGAGGTGTTTCAGGCAGGTTCCGAAACAATAACAAGACGCATACCAAACGGCTCCTGCACCAGAACATCCCAATCAACATGGCGCAAACTAAAGGCTCTCCGGATGTCAGTATGCCCGTTTGGCGAGGGGATAGGGGTCCCATTGCTACAAACGAAGACCCACCCTCCAATTCACCAGCACCTGGCCGTCCAAACCTTAGGGGCTACCCTGACAGCATGGCCCTGGTAGCTTCAAGTTGCCTGGACCCCATGCCATGATCCGCCCATGGCTGGGCTCGAAAATCGCCACTCTGTCCGTATTGCCTATCCAGTCGGGAGGGATCCTCGCGCTAATGAACAAAGCCAAAAAAGGAGCTTCATGCCCTGAAGCATGATTGATGTTTGAAAACATATGTGACGGCCATGAGATGATCAGGGGGTGCTTTTGCAAATAGTTGGAGGGCAAGGTCTGCAAGCAAAGCACGCTGTGAGAAATCAAACGCCCAAACCGGGCAAAACAACGTTCGTTGACAACCTCGAGAGCCAATAGATCGGCAGCGTTTTTCTGGCAAGGCAGCCTCAGATTTCTTGTTCTCCCTCGGAATGGCTCAAGTGATTTGGGTCAGTCTCACGCTCGGGTTGTGGATGCTGTTCTGTTGTTTGAAGGAAAATTTCAGGGACACTCACCACCCTCATTCTGATACAAGCTCAGCCAGGATGGCTTGCTGATCTCAGCGTCAGTGGCGAAACCTCTGCGGCCTCAAATGCAGGCACCGCAGGGATCAAAGTTAAATTCGGCACATTGGCTCGCACGCAAAACATCACAGTGGCATCCGCTGTGCTTGGCTAGGACGCACATTGCGCCGCCTTCATCTGCTGATGGAGGCGGAGGTGGCACATTCTTGGCAGAGACCTGCCAAAGCTGAGGCTAGACTCCCCGTGAAGTGGTTACATAGGGACATACGTCCAAGAAATCCATCAAGACTATTCCAGCCAATGGCCACTAGCCCTGCCTGCAGAAAGTCCTTACCTGCGATCACCAGCTTGGGGACCTTGGATTCACGCCAGCTAAACGAACCCTGTTCAGCGAAATCACACCCATCTGCATACGCAGCGTGCGCGAGGCCAAGAGGTCCCCACCACCTCCCCACTCCGGTTGTTGCTCTCCGACGGAAGCCTGTCAAATTTGACGCACTGTGAGCCCCAGAAACAAAGTCGCAGGCTTCTCGCAAAAGTGTCATTCCCCTCTTTTGGAGTTTACTCCCCAAATTACAATGGAACCCAAAGAGGGGGGTACCCGCAAAGAGATTCTACAAACGTTCAAAGTTGGGGGTACCATGCTACTCTGGGAATTGAATCGTCAAGAGCAAATCCATCGATGCCTTCGAGCACTTGACAGAGTGATGGAGAAGTCACCGTCGAGCGCACAACTGAGCCGGGGCAGCGGGCACAGCACTTTGGACTGGCTCAGACAAAGTCAATTGCCCACAGGGTGGCTCGTCTTTTCTTACGGGACCCCCTTTTTGGTAGGTGTTAAAAGGAAACTTTTATTTTTGGGGGGGTCCCTGAAAAAACACACCCATATGTTTGGAACAAAACACTGGTGTGAAAAAGGGCGATGCGTCTTGCAATGTGTCCTTGACACCCACGTCTCTCGCCAACCAGCACCCTGGCTGATGTTCACCGATCAAAAGGCGCCTGTGAAAGATGCCCTCGTACATAACCTCAGTGGCAACGGCAGCTAGCTCACAAAACATGGCACGAACTCCAAGACTCAAGCCCTGCAGCAACCAACTCTTGTTGCAACCCTTCTTTTGGATCTTTCAGGACTAGGGGCCGATTCTTTACATCACCCAACCCGAAGAAGCTGAGCCAGCAGCATTGTTTCTCAACGACGCAGTGACTTTGTGACCAATAAGGCTGGTGATGCAGAAGGTCTGGCGGAGGTGGCCAATCCGCAAACTTGCACCACAAGTTCGAGGTTCGTCTGAACATGGAATCCCCAAACTGTGTGTTCCTGTAAAACAACAGGAGAAAGAGTTCTTGGAAGCAAGGCACACCCAACCGGAAACGGCCTCCTGAAGCCTTGCTTTCCCGCAATAGCCGTGGGCGAGCCATGAGGCTCGGACGAGTCCAATGGCTAAAGCATGCCACTGCGCACCAACCTATCTTTGTTCACATCCGTCACATCAGGACGACCGCCAGCCCTTGCCTCACCTGCGGGGAGAGCAGCTTTTGCTTGGAGACCCTTTTGGTTGGTGCAGCCAAAAGCAAGAGGAAAACAGCCTGGGGGTGTCCTAATTTGGAGCCAGACAAAAATTGAGCTGCAAGGGAGTCTGTTTCAATGCTGCTCAAGTGACAGTTCCGAAATATGCAAGGGTCGACATGCAATGGGGCCTCTCGTACTTCTGCGTTGAGAGCAAGGGCGGAAGCAATCCAAGTTTTCTGGCGGTCAAAATAGTAGGAACTTGATGAAACGAAGTATGCTGGAGAATGCAAAAGATCTGTACGGGCTTGGAAACGTACTTCAGAGCTGGGACTCTAGGCAAAGGTGGGCCCTCTCATTCAAACTTCAACCCACAAAGTTTTGCTCAGCAACCAGAAAGAACTTTCAATCGAAAGGGCTTTGTGTCCTTTGATTCATTGGGCTACCCCCCCCTGTAAGAACAAACCCACCCCTCAGCCAACCCACGCCCCGCTCGCTCGCTCGCGCCTGCTGCTCTTGGCTGCCCTCCTCGCCTCTGCGGATTCGCCATCGCCACACTGGCTGCGTGGAGTGCCCTGGAGCTCAACGAGCGAGTCACTTCGATGGACCCAGGCCCTGCGGTTGCCTCTTGCATGGACAAACTATGACCGGCATTGCAAGGATCAATCTGAGATGCGAGGATTGGGAACCCAAAACGGAAGCAGCGCACACTCCAACAGATCCTGCAAGAGGGACACAAATCTCAAAGGGTGACCTGTGTCCCCGGCCATGAAGGAATGATCCCAGCGAGGTTTGATCCGTACCCCCAAACCGCCCAAGTAAGGAGAACTAACCCTTGGCGGATTTTCAACTGGATGGCAAAAGAAAGAAAAGCCACCCATGTCCGGGATCGCCTAAGAAAAGGCCGGTTTCGGGAAAGTGGAACCCATCTTAGCCCAACCCAAGGCCCATGATGCTTGCGTCCTGAGCAGCCCTAGCACCGCAAGGCTCCAGGCGGAACCTGGGAGTATCTTTCGAAGGTAGCTCCATTCTGGGCAAAGCTCGTTGGATAGCCACGGAACAAACCTATGCTAACAAGTCTATGAAACAAGTCAAAATGATTGATCCAGTCTATGAAACAAGTCTATGTTTGATCCTTCCAGAGAAATGCAACTGCATGTCGCCAACGGCTCCGCTCAAAGGTAGGTGCCCGGCAGGAAAAGAAGGAGGGACGCAGCCACAACGCTTGGCTTACCCCTCTGAGCTGATCCGGCGACATCCCAAAAGCTTTGCCAAGAGAGGCATGTGAGGCATGATAAGTCTTCGCTGTGGTGTGTGCCCCAATTCATCCTTTACAGGAACTAACTGTGAGTATTGGCTGTAGCTCCAAGCGCATTTTGTAATTCGCAAGCAGCCACACACGAACACAACATCATCACCACCACCACCACGACCAGCAGCAGCAGCGGCGGCGGCATTTTCGCCGACTTAACATGGCCTTTCAGGACCTTCCTTGAGGCAATTGGCCTCTTCTTCTATTTGCCCACTCAGCCTCCTCTCTTGCCCACCTTCAGGAGAAGGTCGTCTTTATTTGCGTCGCACCCCTTTTGCAAACCCGCCTATCCTGCTCTTCCTTTCTTCTGACTTCGACATTACGCAGGAACTCCTGCAAAGGCCCCACCCATTTTGGCTTTCCACCAAATCCGCTTTCGTGGCTTCCGCTACCCCAGACTTGGCGAGCTTCCTTTTGGCTTCCCTTTTAAACCCCCGCAGGGCGCGCCATCAAGGCCCCTCAAGCCCTCTCCGATCCCAAACGCTCCTCGCGGCTGCGCCGCCGCTCGTTCGCTGCTTGAAGGTATTCCGCCTTTTTCGCGAAGCGTCCCACTGCTGTCGAGAAGGAGGACATTGGGAGAAATCGGGACGCAAGTCCTTTTGGCTAGATCTCTCTTCCAATGTCCCTCTCTCAGACTGGACACCTCCGAACAGCTCACTCAGCTCTCGATGTCAACTTAAGAATCTCAAGGATGACAGTAAATTTTAACACGGATCATTTCCACACAAAGGGAATCACTCCTGCTGCATACCCTTACCCCGTGTTCACCACAAAGAAAACCTTGCCAAAGTCCCAGCCTCTGTCTCTGCGTGTCTGCAGTGCAACTCAGCCTGGCATTCTGCACCAAAAGGAATGTATGTGTTACCCAACCTCCGACTGCCCCGAAACCGTTTTGCCTAAACAAGCACAGCACCAATAGCACCAACTTTGCGCACAAAGTTCTGGGGACATGCCGGACACCAAGCCAAAGGGGGCAGCCAAAGCTCGTCCAACAGCTGCACCCTCATGGTAACATGCAAGCATCTCTCAAGCAGAAAAATCCTCAATACATACATATATATATATACATGTATATAGCATCTGGCGCGCAAGTTCCCAGTGTCGTGTTCATGAACAATACATGGATACCACTGGTAACTTAATAGAACCTAGATGAAACCAGTGGAATTCCAGTTCATGTCAAACCAAACTCACCTAAAAAATAGATTATATCCTAGACAAGTGCAAAGATATTACTTTGTGAAATGCACCCAAACCTTCCCCTCACACGACCCCCTCTTTCTCCCAGGAAACCCCACCTGGTAGCCCCGAAATGCCGAGCGCTGCACTGGGCCAAGCCCCGCCTGTCGCGTGAACGTTACGGCTGTTCCTTTTGAGTCGGTTTGTCTTCTTCAAAGCGGACCCCAAAATGGTGAGTTTCCCACATGATTGGCAATTGAACACATCCACCCGTGTATGTCTAACATCCACCAACCCGCTGAGCTGAACAAGAAGGGATTCGCGGCACCCGGGCGTCAGCCGATCCCCGAATAAAAAGTCATGCCCATGTGGGCGTGTCTTAAAAACTGAGGATCCCCAAGACTGGTGTTGTTCATTTGATTTCCCCTTGAAACAAGCCCAAAAAGGGCACTACCGAATCTTCGGGATGTTAGTGTATGGGATGTTCACTGGGGGTACCATACCCATCTTGCGTCCTTAGCTCGCAAACTCTCGGCCCGACCTTCTTCGGCGGCTTCGCTTCTTTGCTCGCCGCAGGTCGGGCTCCTCTCGGCTCAGCCCACAAATGGCCATGCGTCAACAGCCCGGTTAGCCCCCAGTGAACATCCCAATCCCCAATAAAATAGAATAACATGGGTAGTGCACCTACCCCAAAATGGGATCCCATTGGTTTTGACCCAAACCCCTGGTTGCTCAAAAGCGGCCCTTCACTCTTGGCGAAACACGCCACTATTATTCGCCTCGACCCCAAAAAAGTCTTCTCCCCGCCCCCCCCTCACCCATGTCGGCTGGCCCAAAATCCTGTCCGGCGGGCCTTGAAATTTTCAGGGTTCGTCGGCGTCCAGCTCCATGGGTCTATTTTTGTCGAAAATGTACTGACAATTGCGAAAACACTTAAAAATCCTGAAAAGCATGATCTCCTGCTGGCCAGGCCTGTCTGACGTGTCTGAGGCTAGGCCCAACCAGCAACCCAGCCCACCCAGCCTCAGGCCCAAGATCTGCCCAGCCTGGGCTGAGCTGCTTGGGCAGCCGGACTGAGGGGCAGGCTTAGTAGCTGGCATAGCTTGAGACCAGTCTCAGACACGTGAGACTGGTCGTTGGCCTGAGGCCAGTCTCAGACACGTTAGACAAACCTGGCCTTGGCACGCTGGGCTGAGCCTGCTGGTGGGCTGGGAGCTGAAGAGGCCGGCCTAGTGGCTGGCATGCTCTGAGATGCGCCGGGGCCTGGGCTGGGCAGGCTGGGCTGGGCCTGAAGCTAGTCTCAGCCACAAGGCTGCGAAGCCATGGGTGGGTTGCTGGCTGCTGGTTGCGCCTGGAACTTGGGCTGGGCGGGCTGGGCTGAGCTGTGCTTGGGGGGCCTGTTGGAGTTGGCTGGGCTGGCCCTGAGGCCAGTCGCAGACACGTAAGACACGGGCTGAGGGACTGGGCCTGAGGCTAGTCTCTGGCTGGCATACTTTGAGACCAGTCTCAGACTGCGCCGAAGGGGCTGGGACGCGAGCAGGAGGTCGATCGGGCCAGCCTGGGCTGAGCTGCTTGGGCAGGGCTGAGCCGGCCTAGTGGCTGGCATGCTCTGAGATGCGCCGGGGCCTGGGCTGGGCAGGCTGGGCTGGGCTTGCTGGATGACTTGGCTGGTTGGGCCAACCTCCTGCTCTCCAGCAGGCCCAGCCCCTTTGGCGCAGTCTGAGACTGGTCTCAAAGTATGCCAGCCTGAGACTAGCCTCAGGCCCAGTCCCCCAGCCCGCCTGCTGGCGTGTCTTACGTGTCTGCAACTGGCCTCGGGCCCAGCCCAGCCAGCAGCCTCAGGCCCAAGTGTGTATGAAACAGGCCTTGCCCAGTGGCTGAGACTAGCTTCAGGCCCAGCCCAACCAGCAACCCACCCCAGCCCAGGCTGCCCAGCCCAGGCCCCGGCGCATCTCAGGGCATGCCAGCCACTAGGCCGCCCCCCCAGCTCCCAGCTGGCACCAGCAGGCCCAGTCCAGCGTGCCAAGGTCTAACGTGTCTGAGACTGGCCTCAGGCCAACGACCAGTCTCACTGTCTGAGACAGGTCTCAAGCTACGCCAGCTACTAAGCCTGTCTGACGTGCCCCAGCCCCCCAGTCCGGCTGCCCAAGCAGCTCAGCCCAGGCTGACAGTCTTGTTTTTGGATTTCAAACCTTCCGAGCAGGACGGCTTCCGAACATCGAACTAGCACGGGCGAACTGGTGCGGTCACAAGCTTTCAGTAGGATTCGGACCTTCCCAACCGGTGTTCCTGACCCTTCCCTCAAACTAGGCTGGGCCGAGGCGGGCAACGCGAAGCGTTTACAATTCCATCAGGTTGCCTGATCCGGAGTCCACTCTGCCGCCTTTTTTCTCCCTACTCAGAAACTCCACCAGGAACCAAAGTGACAATGAAGAAGAACCACCGCCGAAGTCGCTATCAACACTTGGGACAAGGGGTCTTCACAAAAATCGCGTGAGCCAAGAGGGCGCTCGTGGCAAACGGACTGATCTCTTCGTCTCCAGGCCTCCGCCTAGGATGGCCTTCACTGCTGTCAGCACGCTTCCGGGCCCCTCCAGCCTCACAGCACGAGGCTAAAACGGAATCGACGAATGTCTGCACTCATCTGCCCTGCCCAGGTCCAAAATGAGATTGACGGGCAAACAAACCGTGGTCAAAACCCTATGTTCTCCGCTTGCTTCTCATTGTCGAAGGATCGGCCATAGCGGGCTAAGCCGTGAGGTAAACTCGGCACACTACTGAATTACTTCCGGAGATCTGCCTCTGGCTGGGTTGACAAACGTAGCCGCCCAATCGCTGTTCTACCTCCCCAGGTCTTGCCAGCCTTCGCAACTGGGCTTCGGCTCGCTCTGGCTTCAACATTGCATGCCACACCGTGAAGCCTTGATCCAGCAAATGAAAGCGCGTTTCAGGCTGCGCGGCAAACATGGCCTTGCTGTTCGAGCACACACGGCACACCCACACACAATGACTGGCTTTACGCGGCTTGTCCCGCTGCTTCATTCACACCTCTCAACTTCGGCTTCCAGCTCACATGGTCAAATCACTTCGATGTCCGCAAGGTGCGGATGACTTGGGTCCTGGTCGCGCAGGTCCCCATGGCGCACCCCACCTGTTCAGCGCGGCGGCTTGCCTTCGGCCAGGTGAACCACCTGGTTTGCGCCTGGGGCTGTGGCCCGTATGCATATCACACCGTGATCGGTCGCTGGAGATTACAGTGCAATCATATCACACCTCCACAACTGACTAAAAACCGCACGGCCACAACGCCCGCCGGGCATTGCATGAGATCTCGACACAGTTGCTTGGCATGTGGCCGGATGCCCAAGGCGAAACTGGAACCACGCCCGGCGATCAGAACGACTGCTTTGTCAAGCCCCTCTTGCTGAAGAGGCGGTGCACACGTCCATGGAGTCCGAACCCGGCGACCTCTAACCTTGAGCGATCGGCCTGCACCGCCCGACCTGCTGGTCAAAACTCATTGTGTGGGCCCTGATCTGGTGTCGAACTTCCCTACCAACCTCAAGCAAGGCGGGTGTTTTACAATGGCACGAATGATGTCAGTTCAGCTGCGAAAACCGCCGACATGAATATGCAAAAAGAGCGGCTTGATGACAGCAGGCGTCAATGGCAGCGTATCGCTTCGTGGATTCAAGGTCCTGTGCAAAATCTTCTTCCAGACTTGTCATCAGATGTACAACAAAGCTGGCTAATTGGTTTGCAGCCTCCAAGTCAACAGCCAAGGTCATGGGTCCTCGTCCCATCATCAGTGAGGACGAAGCGAATGCGGTTGGCATACAGCACACCTTCTCTTGCCAAGGTGTCACATTGACACTGAAAAAGCTGCTCTCAATGCCGTTAGTTGCTAGCGTGGTGTTGCAACTAAAACAGCTGTAACTGTTGAAACATCTGAGGTGCACGCCCCTTTGTTCAAACGATTTCTGCACCTCGGAGGCAGCGCCAGAATCGCACTTTGCAGAAAGCAAACCGTACTGACTGAGGCTCAGTGCACTTCACACGAAACATACTGAGAATAGGTAACAGCGCTTCACGCGAGCTAATCATGAAGGATGAATTGCATTGGCGGCTAATCAACCAACATCTGCTGCAATATTATGTTGCACTGCATGCTTGCCAGAAAACCCAAACCATCGGATGTTCACGCAATCAATCGCCAGCATGCAACACGGCAAACGTGACACGGGACAGCCAGACCATATCCTAACTTGCCTTAGAACAAGCATATGAGTGGACACGGGAAATGTGGCAAACATGACACTGACGTAGTGCAGCTCGTCCTTCAAGCCCACTCTTGCATGTGGACAGCAAACACTGTCAATTTGCTGCGTTACTGCTGTTCGAGATATACCTCTTCCGAACAACCCATCCGGAACTCGAACACTGCAAACTTTGAGGGCCCCGCATCATGTGGCGTGACTCCTTCACGCGGGCATCTCATCGAAAGGACCTGGTTCCAGCAGACATCAGGGCCAAAAAAGCTGGCAAACTGAACGTCTGATTCGCCCAACTGCGGCGGCGGCATCTCCATCAATGTTGAAATTTACCTGGCTGCATAGCGCCGGCTCCATCAGCTTAGCATGAAGCCACACAGTCTTGCGCATCATCCTTTGTGCTCATGCATGCTGTGGGTGTGCACACATGCCTCCAAAGCAACTGGATCAACTTGTTCGAGACCATCCAAACTTGGCGCACGGAACTTCTCGGCAGCAAATGGCCACTGCAAGCAAATGATGAACTTGCAAAGGTACCACGTCCTGAAAAATGCTCATGTCGTGATACCAAAGTGGGCCGCGTTACGAGTTTGCTTTAAAGGGATTCTCGCCGGGTATCAAAGAAAGTGGGGCAGCCCAAGCTCCCACATACCTGCAACCTGGTTTGTCCCTGAGGCCTGCACTCAAACATGGCCGAAAATGCCAGCCAGCACCGCCTTCTTCCCTAGTTCGTGCTGTCACTTTGCAGCAAAAGCTGTGCAACATGCTGCATCATGGATGTCAATTGCGATTTGGACTGCAGCTTCTCATCAGCCGTTGTTTGAGCCCAAAGGCTAGCCATACTGTCAGCAAAAGAAAAGACCGCGAACTCGCAAACCCATCATAAACTCACTAAGCCCTGCAAATGTGTGGTGTTTCACCATTGCTCATCTCAGTTTGCTAGAGATGTCTCCAACTAAACCATGGCAAAGCTGCAATTTGGCAACACGCGTACCATTCTTTTTCAAGCCAATCATCATCAGGCCTGTACAAGCAACGTTAAACCTTTACACTTTGAATCACATTGCGGCGAAGCCATCAGCCCCCCTGTATTGGGGCCGCGGAAGCTAAATGCCAGCGCAAGTGGCCGGGTCAAAGTACCCAAGATAAACTAGAAACAGTACCAAGAGACCAAGTGGATTGGCCAGAGTGACTGAATGCCCATCAAAGCTCTGGCACCACTTTTGGGATTCCCTTCTCATCTGTCGAAATTCAAGATGCGTTCCGGGCTTTGCAGCACGCAGATGTGGATACATCACAGAGCGTCGGACTCAATATCTCCGCCAGAAGTCGTCTTCGTGTCTGAAGAAGATTCGTCTAGCTTTTCGCTGCGTTCACCTCCGCCACAGTTTCAGAAGCGTGCTCACATTGAGCTTTCTGGAGGCTCACAAGGGAATCCTGCAGCCCTGCCTGCAACTGAGTCTTCCGTAGCATCCTTTTGTTCTGGTCGCTGCATGTTCGGACGGACCTGGGCTGCCCAACATCATGTGCATGTTTCAGCTTCCTCTCCTTGCTTGGCTTGACAGAGGGACCTAGAATCGGATGTTGATGCCAAGGTGCAAGCAGTTCAAAGGTCAAAAGGAAGAGCACCGATACAGACGCCTGCGAACCGGCATACCTTGGCACGGCGCACAATGGTCCGTCTGTTTGCAACTGGTGGTTCATGGCCTGGCGAAAGGGTGGAAAACCTGGTAAAGGCAATGGGGCAGCTAGTTCAGCCGCCCATGCCAAACCATGAAAGCTTCAGGATCAGTGTAAACTCTACATGAGCAAGACTTTCATGACAGCCTGCATCAGAACAGCTGAGTTTGTTCCCTATACAAGGTGAGTGACCCTTTAGTGCCTAGAATCGATCGGAAACCGAGTTGGCGTTCGTGTGCCTGTAAACATCACCCAACCAAATCCAGACCTATCCTCAAAATGGCCGAAAAAAATCGACTCCGAAAATCTTGGACGAAGGCTCACCCAGCAACGCCAAAAGCGCGTGACCTTTCGGTTTAGTTGGCCTTGGGCTTCGGTGTCCTTAACCAAACATGCCAGGCGCAAGACCTGCTTGGGCAGCAGCTCCAGGTACCATCGCGTCACCCAGGGCCCCGCGAATTGCCCCATGCCTCCCAGGAACCTCGAGGCGAGCGATAGGGAGCAGGAGTTTGGGAATGAAGCGGCAGGCAATTCCCGTGAAGAAATGCCTTTTTTTTCTTCGGGGTCATTCCCTGCTGAGAACCAGCAAGTTTAAGGCAAGGCGCCAATCAGACTCAAAGTGCCCCTCGAATATCAGAGCGCAGGTGTCCAAAGGATATCCGCCGACATTGCTCGGCGTGTCGGATACTTACTAGAGGATAGAGGATAACCCCCCGCCCTACCCCGCCCGACGTCTATAACGTAGTTTTTTTTTTTGGGGGGGTCCCCCACGTACCGCGCGGCAATTTGATGACGTTCCACTAAACGTAGTCTTCGGGGAGCCGGTGTCGCAAAACAGGGGTCCCAGGCTCGATTCCCCCTGCCGGCTTTTTTGCTGGCTTGGGCTTCCTGCATCCTTTTGCCGAAAATCCAGAAAAACTCAATGTTTTTGGACGTCCTCTTTGCGAAAACGCTGGAAAAAACGTGTTTTTTTGCGGGAAATACATACATACATACATACATACATACATACATACATACATACATACATACATACATACATACATACATACATACATACATACATACATACACATACATACATACATACATACATACATACATACATACATACATACATACATACATACATACATACATACATACATACATACATACATACATACATACATACATACATACATACATACATACATACATACATACATACATACATACATACATACATACATACATACATACATACATTACATACATACATACATACATACATACATACATACATACATACATACATACATACATACATACATACATACATACATACATACATACATACATACATACATACATACATACATACATACATACATACATACATACATACATACATACATACATACATACATACATACATACATACATACATACATACATACATACATACATACATACATACATACATACATACATACATACATACATACATACATACATACATACATACATACATACATACATACATACATACATACATACATACATACATACATACATACATACATACATACATACATACATACATACATACATACATACATACATACATACATACATACATACATACATACATACATACATACATACATACATACATACATACATTACATACATTACATACATACATACATACATACATACATACATACATACATACATACATACATACATACATACATACATACATACATACATACATACATACATACATACATACATACACATACATACATACATACATACATACATACATACATACATACATACATACATACATACATACATACATACATACATACATACATACATACATACATACATACATACATACATACATACATACATACATACATACATACATACATACATACATACATACATACATACATACATACATACATACATACATACATACATACATACATACATACATACATACATACATACATACATACATACATACATACATACATACATACATACATACATACATACATACATACATACATTACATACATACATTACATTACATTACATTACATTACATTACATTACATTACATTACATTACATTACATTACATTACATTACATTACATTACATTACATTACATTACATACATTACATTACATTACATTACATTACATTACATTACATTACATTACATTACATTACATTACATTACATTACATTACATACATACATACATACATACATACATACATACATACATACATACATACATACATACATACATACATACATACATACATACATACATACATACATACATACATACATACATACATACATACATACATACATACATACATACATACATACATATACATACATACATACATACATACATACATACATACATACATACATACATACATACATACATACATACATACATACATACATACATACATACATACATACATACATGCATACATACTTATGTACATGCATGCATACATACGAGAGAGGGAGATTGGGGAGAGAGAGGCTTGGGGGGATGGGGAGGATGGGAGCAGAGGGAGGGAGAGAGGACGACAGAACACACAAGGGAGACAAGGAAGAGAGGAAGAAGGAGAAAAGGGAGAGGACAATGTCGGCGGACTGAGCCGGAGGCTCTAAAGTTGATGCAGGCTGGTCCGGTCTTGAAAACTAAACTGTTGCATGGGCTATCATGGGTTTCTGTGTGACAAGGAATCTGCAAAGCAGCCTGAATGTCTGTACAACGGGTCTGATGTGCTGGAACACTTGAAACGAGAGGCAAGTTGTATTGCCACCACGCCTTAAAGAAACACACACGACCTGCTGATTTGGCGGGCAGCTCTCCCAATGCACAATATACTGCCAGCCCCCTTTTCAACACTTGCTTTGGCTTCCTTTGGATCCTTGACGCTCGCAAAATCTGAAACTTATGGGCAATTTCCTGGGTTTTGCATTCCCCTCTCAAGAACTTGAGAAAACCCTTCTCGCCTTGTTCAAAGTGGGAAACCATTCGTGAGGTCCTTGACATGTGCCCTCCCCAACGAGGCGCAGGGTGTAGCAAGAGGTGCGATTTGCGTCCAGCCAGCCCTGCGGAAGCAGGTGCCGCGCCATGACGCCCCGGCCGATGGCGTCGGCCAAGTAGATCTCGGCGGCGGGACGCGACTTTGGGATTCGAGCGATCTTCAGAGAGCGCAACCATCAAACCACATTCTGATCCATCCACAAAAGAGCTGAGAAACAGTCGAATCAGAACCAATTCGAAGGAATGTCTTATTGTCGTATCCGCCCAGATGATTGAAGAGCAGATCGCGCCCCAGCAACTCAAGCCGAGGCGGGTAGCTCACATGAGCAGGGGCAAGTGCATGAATCATGAATCTGTATGGAATGACAATATCCCTCGTGTTGGCAAGTTACATCGCCGCGGGTGAACAGGGCTCCTGGCAGAATCGCATTGGCATTGCCCACTTCCATTAATCCTTCATGGAACAGAATTTGCCGTTGTTTGGCTCAAAGCCACCTGGCGGTCACCTGCTTCCTGCCTTCCAGGCACAATATGCTCACATTTGCCCACCTCTGTCTCAGACTGGCTACATTGTCAGAACAATACAGAACCTCCCGGGGTATGCGCCAGGCCGAAAAGCCAGAGCCAAGAAAGCGTCCATTTCAAGATGCGCGGCCTGGTCTGGGAGAAACAGCTTGTTTATTGCTGGCTCCGTTGCATGTCACCAAATTTGATCTCGGTTCAACAAGGTCAAGGCCGCAACAGAAACAACTTGTAAGCATCTCTCAAACAGAAACAACTGCCTGCCTCAGAGGACGCGCAACTCCTGTGTGTGTGTCGGAAATGCCAAGCAGCGCAGGGAAACAGCAGACAATCTGCGAGCAAGAGCAGCCATCCATCCTGCAAGCAAATCAGGGCAGCGCCCGCAATGGCAGCCTCAGCTTCCACCAAACAGCCCGGGTGAATGCATCTTGGTCAGCTGAACAATGCCGATTGTCGCATTGCTGGAATACCTGGCTCTGGCTGCATTGGGGATATCCAAATTGTACTCTCAAAACTCGACATTTAAAGATGGTCCCAAGTTCCTCACCTCCTCAACCCTCTCCCCCCCCGTCATGGTCAGGACTATCAGCCCTCCCCCCCCCCCCACGGTCCTGTGGTGGAGTTGCGGTAGTTCAGGGTTGGTTTAGGGTTGGCTTAGGCTTGGTTTGGGGGTTTCTTCGGCTTGGTTTCGAACGGATTTCGGCTTGGTTTCAGCTTGTTTTGGGTTGGTTCAGGCTGTGCTGAGGGTGCGCTTGTCAGCCGGGAGCAAATGAAACGCTTCTTCACCTTCAAGGCTTTCAGCAACCCAGCATCAGGTCACAGCCTCCAACTATTCCCCTCTGCTTGTTTTTTCTTTGCAAGGCGCAGCATGAAGCTTTACAAAGCTTGCTACGGATGACAGGATGTCAACCTGCCACAAGCGCTCTGTGTAAGTTCAAACTGTGCACCTGCACTGCCTGCGCTTGCAACATTGTACTGGCTCACTGATGCGACTGTAGCAAAAGCTAAGCATGGAGCCCGTTCCTGTCCTGTACAAATGGGCCAACGGGCCAAAAGTCGGCCGAGAGTGCACTGGCAGTCCTAGTCCAGCCGGTATTGCTCGAAACATGGATCTCCCCTAAAGTCGCACCAGTCGTTGTGCAGCTGGCAGAGACCATTCCCACCACAGGCGCTTGCGGGGCTCATCCAGTCAAAGACTTTGCAGCCAACCGTGTTGGTGCATTTCATGCGACAACCAGCGGCCGTTGCAGTGTTGTACTCAGCCATTTGGGTGGTCAACGAATCGCATCGACCTACTCCATAAAAGTTGTAGGTTGGGTTTGTGGGCTGCGCGGCGCAGTCCAAATAGTAGTCCTTCGCCTTCTCATCGTAGCAGTTGCCGCTGTTGGGCGAGCAGAACGGCTTGCCACCGCAGGAGGCACAGCAATCAGGACGGCACTCCATGTAGTAGTCCCTGTCCTTTTGGTCGTAGCACTTCCCGGTGCTGGGCGAGCAGAAGGGCGTGCGGCAGGTGGTGCAACACCATTGGAAGGGCCAGTTCAGGGACCTCCACCGGAGCGCCGGCTCTGCAGCAGCGAGCCACCACCAAGCCACGTACCACGCGTAAGATGCCATGGCTTCGAGGTTAGAAGGTCCAAGAGCCTAACACTCGAAGAGCTTGACTGCACTCTTCGGCGAAACCATTCACTGAATCTCTCAAAAAAAAAACACCCTCAAACCTCAGTTGAACGCTTGACTCAAGCCGCGCAAAGCAGATTCTTGCAGCGCTCAAAGCGAGGTTGGGAAAATTATTTGAACAGCCAACTCCTGGCCCAACTCCTTCAAAGGTAAACTGAAAAAAGGTTGCAACTGGTGAAACATGGTTTTGCACGTTGAATCACCCAAACCCTTTCCTTGTGCTCCCAGCTCTGCCTTCCGAGGCGCCATGCCGAAGAGCCGCACTAGCCACTTCTCCGACAAGCACTTTGCCAGCTGCCCCTGGAGGAAAACGAAAGCTGACGCGGAAGGCAAGCGCTAATTCCAAAAAGGGCGACACCATCCAGGAAAGATGTAACAAAAAAGACGCCTCTTCCAAATCTGACCTCTCTGCTGCAGGAAACCTCTGTGGAAAAGGAGGCGTATATCTATTATATATTCGCCTCGGCCTGAAAGGGGCCAAGGGCGCTCAGATCTCTTCTCCAAAGAGAACCCCCCCCCCCCACCCATGTCGGCTGGACCCAAAATCCTGTCCGGCGGGCCTTGAAATTTTCGGGGTTCGTCGGCGTCCAGCTCCATGGGTCCATTTTTGTCCCAAGTCATCCAGCAAGCCCAGCCCAGCCAGGCCGGCCCCAAGGTCAGGTTTGTCTAACGTGTCTGAGACTGGCCTCAGGCCAACGGTGTCTGAAACTGGTCTCAAGCTATGCCAGCCACCAAGCCCGTCTGACGTGGCCCAGCCCTCAGTCCGGCTGCCCAAGCAACTCAGCCCAGGCTGGCCAGACCTTGACCTCCTGCTCGCGTCTGGCCCCAAATCAGCCAGCAGGCCCCGTCTCAAAGTTTGCCAGCCTGAGACTAGCCTCAGGCCCAGTCCCTCAGCCCGCCTGCTGGCGTGTCTGCGACTGGCCTCAGGCCCAGCCCAGCCAACTCGCCACCCAGCCTCAGGCCCAAGTGTGTATGAAACAGGCCTTGCCCATCCAGCAACCCGCCCAAGCACAGCTCAGCCCAGCCCGCCCAGCCCAAGTTCCAGGCACAACCAGCAGCCTGGTCCGGCTGCCCGGCAGCCAGCAACCCACCCATGGCTTCGCAGCCTTGTGGCTGAGACTAGCTTCAGGCCCAGCCCAAAAGCCTGCCCAGCCCAGGCCCCAGCGCATCTCAGAGCATGCCAGCCACTACCAGCCCCCAACTCCCAGACCAGCAGGCTCAGCCCAGTGTGGTTTGTCTAACGTGTCTGAGACTGGCCTCAGGCCAACGACCAGTCTGAGACTGGTCTCAAGCTATGCCAGCTACTCAGCAGCCCAGGCTGACCAGGCCCCTTCAGCGCAGTCTGAGACTGGTCTCAAGGTATGCCAGCCTGAGACTAGCCTCAGGCCCAGTCCCTCAGCCCGCCTGCTGGCGTGTCTTACGTGTCTGCGACTGGCCTCAGGCCCAGGCCAGCAACTCGCTACCCAGCCTCAGCCCATCCAGCGACCCGCCCAAGCACAGCTCAGCCCAGCCAGCCGAAGTTCCAGGCGCAACCAACACCATAATCCAGCTGCCCAGCACCACCCATGGCTTCGCAGCCTCGTGGCTGAGACTAGCTTCAGGCCCAGCCCAACCAGCAACCCGCCTAAGCCAACCCCACCCAAGCCCACCCGGTTTGAGACTCGCAGGCCTATCTAGCGCCGAGACTGGGCCTCACCAGCCTGGGCTCAACTAGCGTCTAGCCCAGCCCAGTCCGCCTGCTGGCCAGGCCTGTCTGACGTGTCTGAAACTGGCCTCAGGCCCAGCCCAGCCATAGCCCAGCCCCCTCAGTGCGGCTGCCCAGCCCGCCGTAAACTAGCTTCAGCTCAACCAACAACCCACGCAAGCAAGGTCCAGCCAAGCTGCCCGAGACTAGCTTCAGGCCCAGCGCAGGCTTATCTGATGTGTCTGAGACTAGCCTGTGGCCCAGCCCAACCAGGCGAGGCCGGCTTGTCTGACTTGTCTGAAGCCAGCTTCAGGTATTCGGACCTTCCCAACACTGGATTTCGGTGTTCCTGACCCTTCCCTCAAACTAGGCTGGGCCGAGGCGGGCAACGCGAAGCGTTTACAATATGCATATATGGTACCATGTCCTGTGTTCCCAACCCCGCCCCCCCCCCCCGGCGCCCTATGGTATGGGCCTCCCCGGCTCGGGACCCCCCTCCGACAACCATCCCTAAACCACCACGCAACAACCCCGGCACTCCCGCAACCTGAGCAATCCAACCCTCAACCAATCCAACCCTGAATCAATAACTTGAGCAGAAGGAACCTTAAACCCCTGTCTACAACCCTAATCCAACTCTAAACCAGCCCTAATCCATCCCAAATCCAACACCACAACCACCCCAAACCAACCCGAAACCAATCCTAAACCACCCCATCCTAAACCAACCCTGCACCACAGCCCAAGCACGGGCAACCTGTATGACGAGGGACGCTGCTATCATTTCTGCAAAGCTCTCTGATTGACAAGAGGCCTGCACTACCAAGTTGCATTTATACTCACGGCAAAACCATGTCGGCTGCGAACAACAGGTGAATAACGATGAGTTGGGTTCCGGGTTCAGAGCCCTTGAAGATCTCTTGTGAGTCTGCATGTTGCCCAACTTATTGCGCTAACAACAGCATTCAAGCATCCACAGTAGGGTGTGACGAGGCATGTCTAACTGGATCTTGTTGTTGTCTCCCATGATCCAAAGAAAGACCTCATGGGCGCTGCTGCAAAGTTTGATGTCTAAGGGATACCGCGAGTCCAAAATGAGCCCAAATTGACCGACACAGCACCTGCAAGCTGTGGTCTCATTCAAACTCCCGGCGTCGAAGCAGAATTTGCCTCTCCAAGAAGCTTCGCATGGGCTGCGCAACTATCACCATCATCATCATCATCATCATCAGCATCATCATCATCAGCATCATCATCACCACCGCCACCACCAACGCCACTATCGCCTGAGTTTGCCTACCGACCAGAAATAAGCAGACGGCAACAAAACGCATTCGTCGGAACCGGCTACCAGTCACCAATTCACCTGGAGTGGACATATCTCGACAAGGGGTCATAAAGGGCACTGCGCAGCATGATCATAACTTGGCAAAACCACTTCGAAGATTTACTACCAGAATCCTTCACCAGTGTGCTGGCACTTGCGATGAAAAACTTGGGAATGTCATCTTGACATGACATACACCTCACATCCTTCACTCCTTCCATGGCATTGCTCACTGAATCGCCTTGGCCGACAATACTATTGCTCGTCCTGCAAAAAAGGCAATCATTGCGCGAAAGCCAAACAAGATGCCGCCTGACCCCTGATTTGACGCTGGGACCATCGTACCTCCCCCCCTGCCATGTCTCTCGGGCTGGCTTGAGAGCCGCCCGCCTGCAGCAGCTTGGCAGGGATGCTGGCCAGCAAGGTCAGGGCCACAAAAAAGCCGATGGTCTTCAGCTCCCACCCGTACTTCCTCAGCCGGACGTTTTCTTCAAGCTGGCAACCCGGCCAGAGTCAGAATTCTCGCAACATGGCTGGATGACAAAACCCCGAGATCCAAGATGTGGATGGTAGGCGGCAGAAGATAAAACTCAAGACTTGAAGAATCCCTCGGAAGCGACTCAAATAGGAGAAGAAAAACACACGACGACAAGGTCAGGGATGCAAAATGAGGACAAGCAAGTGGGCTCATTGACTTCCTCACAAGAATTTACAAGGCTAGAAGTCCTGCTGCTGCAGGTGCTGCTGGTGATGGTGCTGGTGCTGGTGCTGGTGCCGGTGCTGCTGCTGCTGCTGCTGCTGCTGCTGCTGCTGCTGCTGCTGCTGCTGCTGTTGCTGCTGCTGCTGCTGCTGCGGCGTCTGCTGGTTGTGGTTGTGGTTGTGGTTGTGGTTGTCGTTGTGGTTGTGCTGATGGCGGTTGCGCTAATGGTGCAAGTGGTGTGTGTGTGTGTGCGCGCGCACAGGCGCAAGCATGCGCGCATGCGTGCGTGCACCTGTGCGCATGGGCGCGTGTGCCCACTCTTGCGCGCACGCGCGCGCGAATGCGCACATGCGCACGGGTGTGCGCACGCGTGGTCCAAGTGTTCGAGCCATTCGACCTTGCAAGCGCATGTGCATGCGCAAGCGCAGTTGTGTGTTTGTGTGTTTGTTTGCGTATTTGCGTGCTTGTGTGTTTGTGTGTGTGTGTTTGTTTGTTTTTGTGTGTTTGTGTGCTTGTGTGCTTGTGTGCTTGTGTGCTTGTGTGTTTGTGTGTTTGTGTGTGTTTGTGTGTTTGTGTGTGTGTGTGTTTGTTTGTGTGTCTGTGTGTTTCTGTGTTTCTGTGTTTGTGTGTTTGTGTGTTTGTGTGTTTGTGTGTTTGTGTGTTTGTGTGCTCGTGTGTTTGTGTGCTTGTGTGTTTGTGTGTTTGTGTGTTTGTGTTTGTGTGCCTCTGTGTGTGTGTGTGCGCGTGTGTTTGTTTGTGTTTTTGTGTTTGCGTGTTTGTTTGTGTGTTTGTGTGTTTGCGTGTTTGTGTGTTTGTGTTTGTGTGCCTGTGTGCGTGTGCTTGTTTGTGTGTTTGTGTGTTTGTGTGTTTATGTGATTGTGCGTTTGTGTGTTTGTGTGTTTGTGTGCTTATGTGCTTGTGTGGTTGTGTGTTTGTGTGTTTGTGTTTGTGCTTCTGTGTGTGTTTGTTTGCGTGTGTGTGTGTGTGTGTGTGTGTGTGTGTGTGTGTGTGTGTGTGTGTGTGTGTGTGTGTGTGTGTGTGTGTGTGTGTGTGTGTGTGTGTGTGTGTGTGTGTGTGTGTGTGTGTGTGTGTGTGTGTGTGTGTGTGTGTGTGTGTGTGTGTGTGTGTGTGTGTGTGTGTGTGTGTGTGTGTGTGTGTGTGTGTGTGTGTGTGTGTGTGTGTGTGTGTGTGTGTGTGTGTGTGTGTGTGTGTGTGTGTGTGTGTGTGTGTGTGTGTGTGTGTGTGTGTGTGTGTGTGTGTGTGTGTGTGTGTGTGTGTGTGTGTGTGTGTGTGTGTGTGTGTGTGTGTGTGTGTGTGTGTGTGTGTGTGTGTGTGTGTGTGTGTGTGTGTGTGTGTGTGTGTGTGTGTGTGTGTGTGTGTGTGTGTGTGTGTGTGTGTGTGTGTGTGTGTGTGTGTGTGTGTGTGTGTGTGTGTGTGTGTGTGTGTGTGTGTGTGTGTGTGTGTGTGTGTGTGTGTGTGTGTGTGTGTGTGTGTGTGTGTGTGTGTGTGTGTGTGTGTGTGTGTGTGTGTGTGTGTGTGTGTGTGTGTGTGTGTGTGTGTGTGTGTGTGTGTGTGTGTGTGTGTGTGTGTGTGTGTGTGTGTGTGTGTGTGTGTGTGTGTGTGTGCTTGTGCTTGTTTGTAACACAAACACAAGCACACCAGAACAAACACACGTACACACACAACACACAATAAAACAAAAACAAAAAGCACAAGCACGCAAAAACACGCACAAAGACGCAAACACAAAAAACATACATGTGTCTGTTGGTGTTTCTGTTGGTGTTTCTGTTGGTGTTTCTGTTGGTGTTTCTGTTGTTTCTGTTGGTGTTTCTGTTGGTGTTTCTGTTGGTGTTGGTGTTTCTGTTGGTGTTTGTGTGCCTGATTCTGCTGAAGATTTCCGTTTGACTTCAGGATCACATCTAGTCTTCCAGGCCAAGAGTTCTGGGGATGGCCAAGACCCCTAAGTGGTGTTCCTTCTAGGATTGCGGCTCTTAGGTACCCACCAAACTTGCAGGCAAGAGAAAAAGCCCGCTTGGGCAGATATGCTCACCACTCACAGCATGGTTGTCTTTAAAATCCTTGAGCCTACAGCCCATCAAACTAATCCATTGTTTTCTCGATTGTGTGTTTCTGCTTGTGCGTGTGGTAGTTTGAGGTAGCATGCAAAAAAAGCACCTGCCGCTTGCAGTGCCCCTTTCTGAAGGAAAGGGTGGCACCAAATGCAACTTCATTTGTTTGATGGTGATGCAGATTTGTCATGTCTTGCAATTGCTCCTTCTTCAAACGACGCTTTGAGGTGTTTGTTCCTATGGGACTTCCATCCGCCCATCCATCCAGGCATCAAAGAATGAGGCATGACCTACAGTGCACGCGCACCTTCAACCTCGACCCTTCCTGCCTTGTTTGGAACACACAACATTGGAAATGATATTAGTCACAATCAAAACCCGGTATTAAAATGGTTGACCCAGAAACCATGTAAGGAAATATGTAGGCGGCCGAAACTATTTATGGCTGGGATTGTCCCTTACTAACCTTGATCTACCCAGGTTTTGATTGTGGCTCATATGATTGTTTCACGTTATCATGTGCAGAGAGTGCTGCTTGCTTCCAAGTTCTATATGCGAATAAGGCTGTCACCGTGCTTTGTGAACATTCCAAGCCAAATTCTCGTCAGGATCGGGTCTTGCTCTACATTAGACTTCAGCCATCGCCTAAGCTGATGAACACAATTCGCCAGCCTCCACCGTTGAAATCGCCAGGTTCCGTCACTAACACGCCGCAGGTCAAGACAAGGAGGCTTGCACCGAGGAGCTGCTGAAGGAAAAGAGCCGTGGCACCCTCCAGGGAGGAGATCAAATATCCTCGCAAGCAAGTCATCACCAAGCAGCCCACGACCTCAGTCCGGCCAGATCGGCTTGACCTCCGGGGCCGTTGTTCAACCCACCAAAGCTGTCTGGGAACTGGAGGTCAACGCTTCAGCCTACAGGAAAAGCTCCCGCATTCGACCAGAGGTGCAGCTCTGGCGTAGAAAAACTTCGGACACCAAATATCTCTCTCGCAAAAGTGTCGGACCGGCGGTCCCCAAACCTCGGTGAAGCGGCGACCTTCCGCTTCGAGGCGGACTCCTCCGGGTCCTGGCTGGCCTCCCTCGCCTCGGACGCAGGCGTCGCCAAAGCCAAAACCGGCGGCGTCCCTTTGGTTTGTGTCTAGCCGAACTCAAGACTCATATGGGTGTGGCTCGATCATACAAAAGCAAATACCTCCAAAGGTGTGGCTCAAAATTAAAGAGCTGGGGTTGCGCGGGGTTTAGTCTTTGGTTCCATTTACCAAGGTGCCATTTTGGTACCACTCTTTTGAGCCACAGCCATATCAATGCGAAATCTTGGCCTTTACTCGAGGAACCTCGGAAAGGGCCAGGAGGTTCCTTCTTCGCGCATGATGTATCGCCTCCCGAAGCTTTGATCGTGATGCTTCAAGACATGCGCCCACTTTTGCTCAACGCCAAGAAATCTCTGCCAATACAAAACCATTGACTATAGGCCTTGCTATAATCCTTGTTTCACAAGGTAGTAGAACTACCGCAAAACAAATGGCTTGCCCACTGTTGCACTGACCTCGGGGGCTGGGAGGGTCTGGGGTTTGCGATTGTTAGAGCTTAGACTTTGGGATCGTTGGGCTCATCTTTCAGTCTTTATTTTAGGGCTTGGAATTTTAGGCCTTAGGGTTTTTGGTTTAGGGCTTCAGGGTGAGAGCGGGGCTTCCGGAAGACCAAGAAGGTACAGGGTGACTGGAGGAACAATAGGAAAAAACAGCAGAATCTCTGCAGAGGCTTCACTTTTCCTGCACAGCCTAAGTTCGTACGGGGCCCTGAGAAAGGGTTCGGATTCTCAGCTTCCCGCAAGAAATGGCCGTGCAGAGTGACAACTTGTCAAGCAACCATCTCCAGATCGTCGTCCAAGGCTGGGAAAAGCAGCGCGACCTGAGGCCAAGGTCAACACCCAAACCCTAAACCACACTTGAGTCACAAAGCCCACCTGAAAATAAACGAGGCATGGAAAATCCAATCCAAGCGGAGTGCCGCAAGGAGGACGCCGAAGGCCAGGATGCTTTGCATCACTCCCAGCTGCCAGAATTGGATGCCGAAGTCCCCGAGGCAAGGACTGGCCTGCCGCTCACGCGCCTTGAGTATGACCTGTTGATTTGCTGACATACCTTTGGACAGCTGGAGTTGACACATTGCACACACCCAGCTCGAACATTTCCAGCAGTATGTGCCACAAAAAGAGCCACGCAGAGCAGTTGAGCTAGGCGGCAGCATGGTAGAAGGAAGCCAAGAGCGGACCAAGGCCACACCCAAGCATGTTGGAGAAGAGGAAGCGGACCATAAACCTGAAACGAGGTAAGGAGGTCGCTTTTCATCCAGGCAAGACTGCACTTGCGTGGAGAAGCACCAGGAAAACCACCACAAAGCAAAGAGGTTCGGACAATGTGATTTGATCCCTGGGAAAAGTGGGGGAAATTTGGATTGCTGACCGCTTTCCGAGGCAAAAGTTCTACCATCCATCCATCCATCTATCCATCCATCCCATTCCATTCATCCATCCATTAAATGTTTTGCGTCGGCCTGGACTTCTGCGACCCGCTGCCCTTGGCGATGCACACCAGGCCCAGCTGCGAGGCGGCGCCAGCGCCCAGGCCTTGCAGCAACCGGCTGCACAGCAGGAGGAAGCCCAGCGCCCCTCCTCCTTCGCGAACCAATCCGGTCAACCCGTGAACCCGTTTTATGGCGGCGCTGAAAAACCTCCGTGCAGTGTAGCTTGAAGTTCCAGGAAGCAAGAAACTGCACCTTAAGTATGTTAAGCATTCGATACGTGTGTGTGTGTGTATAGATCAAAGAATGATTGAGAAAGGGGAACTATTCTTTTGGAAGAAGAAGCCAAAATAATATCACTGCCCACTACATACATCCGAGAAATAAAGCCCTGCACTTCTGGATTCGAAGTCCAGAAAAGGGGAACAGGCTTTCTGCGTGCTCTCAGGATGGAGCTGCACAAGGCCTATCATAACCAGAAATAGCCTTGCTTGCAAGTGGACCAGCCTCCAAATGCGTTCAATGAAACATGATCAATCGGGTGAGTGTATCCAACAAGAACTCTGTCGATTTTCGAGCCAGATATGCTGTCATCAATAGGACAGCAACAGGACAGCAACATTGCCAATTTGATTCCCCAAACCATGCAAGTGGCAAAGTCTGAGTTCCTTGCAGCTCTCAATGTTTCCACACTTGCAGCACCCCCTTGCCACACATTTCAAGCATTCTGCCATCTTGATTTCGGCTCCCACCTTTCCCAGCATAGATGAGCCCGGTTGGCACGCAGTACAGGATCGGGCCAGCCACGTACAACGTCAGCGCCGCCATCATGGTCGCCCTGGCCTGTCACTCGATTAACTCGACACGCGCTCATATGAACTCCTTTTGCCCGCTGGGCTTCGGAGAAATACGAAGAACCACTTGGGAAAGATCAACATGCCGTGGTTTCCCCAAAAAACCAAGTTCTTGCCCTCGGCCTGTCGCCACAGATCTGGCTGGAAGTTCTGGACCAAGGCCAAGAAGGCGGCGCCAAGGAGACTTCCGGCCATGAAGATGCCGATGAACAGGCCCGAGAAGGCCACGGACTGCCCCACACTTGCGGAGACGTCGTATGCATCCACCAGAGCTGCCGTGTTGCTCGCTAGAATATTGCCTCGGTCTCAATGCCGGCTTTTCACATTGTCACTTGCCCCATTGGCCTTATGCCGCCAGGCGTCATTGTAACACGACGATGATATCCGTTGCTCTAGATGCTGCATTTCTGGTCTTGGCGCGATGGTGCAGAAGGAATAGTAGCGTCACAACCTCAAGCGCTTTCAGAAACTGAATGATTTGAGAAAGCATATCCGGTGTCTTGCTGCCTAGCAGCAACAAGCACGCAAGCCGCGCTGGGCACAAGCTGCTGCCAGAGTGCGCACGCTGTCATGTTTGACGTGTATTTAGCTCAAGCACAAGATTGAATCGACGAAGAAGTATGGCTGCATCATGATACCGGTCAACATGCAGTGATGTCTCTTGTTTGATGAAATGTCTGACGTTTGCACCAACTCCAGCCGAAAAACACGTGGTAGGGCCTGGGTCAACTTTCTGCACGGCAGGGTTCGTGTGTTTTACACTCTCCTCAAACTACAGGCCAACTTTGGCGCAAGGGTCACCCATATGTCAAATGGCCGGAAGCCCGGACACAGACAACTTGGTCCAAGCTGTGCTCACCTTGTACGTGGTTATTGTTTTCCGGGTTTCGGAATTTTGCAGGGTAAGTATCGCGAGGGAGATCCATCGTCGGCTTGTATGTTGTGTTTCACACACAACTCGCAAGGAAAACTGAAAAATTGTACATTCATGTAAATCTCTGTCATGATAGCTGACGGCAAGTTTTACACCGGGGTTTTTTGTCAAACAGAAAAGCTGCGTATTGGATCACATAGTAAGCGCATGTGTTTGGTGCAAAGATCGCAAAACGGAGTTCGCAAAACCAAAGCACGTTCAGCAGCTTGAAGAAATTGGTGCTTGCTCCAGCAAAGCCTGCCAATCTGGCAGATTGGACTCAAGGACACAACGGCGCTTCCCTTAAAAAGTTGTGCCCAGATCCATGCGTGCAGAAGATTCAATCCACCCCCACGGCGCCATCGTCTTGAAGATGTGTGGGTGGCGCACCTCCGCGCGCCGGTCTTGAAGTAGAGCGGCGAGAATGGTTCGTTTTTCAACACCAGGCGCCGTTCAGCACGTACGCGCTCGCGGTGCGAGCAAGAGTGAGACGCCAGCGCCATGAACCACAAACCTGCGAAGCCAACGCTGATCGAAGGGAAGCTGGGTTCAGATGAGCGCGAGCCAAACTCGCTAACACACCTTCACTTTCGGGCCGTGGCCACCGAGCGCGCATCTCCCACTCGGGCGGGGTGTTCTTTTTCTGGCACGCTGCGACTACTTGGCCTGGGCGCAAGCCAAGTGGCTCTAGGGATTTGGCACGCACACGGCGTGTTTATTGTTTTTTGTTGTTGAATTAAGGCAATGGTCCGAACCTGATCTATTTGTTTATCATCAATTCACATCAGCAGCGGACCGTTTTTTTCCTACGCTGTTAGGGAAGTTGCTGAAGGTTCGTGTTTGAAGTGCTATTGGGTTAAAGGTCCCGCGCACTGCTCCTAGCCTCAAATCACCAATGTTAGAATCTTGATCACTGCTTCAATCCGAAAGGGAACATGCAGTCCAAGATAAAAGGGTGCGACCGACAAACATGTGCGCACGCTCTTTTTCTTTATAAGGCGTTGCTTGGAAGTTGAGGCTCAGAGGTGCAGGGAGAAAGACATCGCGCGTCCTTTCCCCGTATCTGCACCCCTCTGCGGAGCCTCTTCATATGCCCCCGTGGTCAACAATGCTATTCGACCAGGCGCCAGGTGTGTTACCTGTGAGGCGTGAAGCAATCGAAGGCATTGATGGCGGCAGGATGCAATGTGGCATCCGGCTGGTGTGCAATGCGGCACACGGTGCCAGGTTGAGACATGTCGAAACAGTCATATGGCTGCTGGATGCAATGCGTGCATCCGGCTTATGTGCAATGGGTGCTAGGCTGAGGCCTGGCAGTAGCTACAGCATGCGGGGCTGGTTGTGCACCGAACCTTTTGGGCGGCAGCTGCGGCTGCGCCCTGGCGGAAATATTGCATGCCATCGCTGGTGCGAAATGCGGCTCACGGTGCTAAATTGAATTTTGTGACCTCTGCAGACAGGTCATGGTATGCACCGTACCTCTGGGGCACCAGCTGCGGCTGGGCCCAGGGAAGTTCACCTGAGTGTTGACAGTGGGAGGGTGGGCGCAAAAAAGTGAGGGGTAACCCTCACGCAAGTCCCTTAGGTGGCTTGAAGCAGAAAACGGCAACGCGTCCGAAGATTCGATCAAGATTAAAACAAATGGGAAAATAAAACCCTAAACGTTAGAATCTTGATCACTGCTTCAATCCGAAAGGGAACATGCAGTCCAAGATAAAAGGGCCGACAAACATGTGCGCACGCTCTTTTTCTTTATAAGGCGTTGCCTGGAAGTTGAGGCTCAGAGGTGCAGGGGGAAAGACATCGCGTGTCCTTTCCCCGTATCTGCACCCCTCTGCGGAGCCTCTTCATATGCCCCCACTTCAGGGTTCCAAGCAAACGGCCTAATCTATCACCCCCTCTTCAGAGCGTTTGCGAAGCACTCTTATGCTCCGGCCGCCACGGGGCGTCGGGCGGATGCAGTGATAGCCTGCGTTGGTGGGGCCAGAAATCATGCGGGCGAAAACGAAAGCGAGCTTGCGGCTTGCTGTCGAATGCGGATGTGTTGCCGCGGCTGAGCTGATCGGCCCACACGTTGCGCTCGCCTGGGATACGCGAGGCTAGCACTGACCATTTGCGCTTGTAGGCCCATGCGGCGACTAACTGCACAAAGATCTGCAAGGGCCATGCTGCGGTGAACAGTTTGTTCACCCCGGCTTCTGATGCGGTATTATCCGTGCCGGAAGGCATGCATAAGCCGCGCACCGCTTGTCCCTCGGCTGTCCAAGCGATGCGCATTAGCGCCAGTTGGGCCAGGGTTTCGAAGCGCGCTATGTAGCGCTGAGCCTCCTTTGTGAGGCACGGCCACTGCTGCTAGACTTCTTGGAAGTCCCACGTTTCTGCAAACCAGGAGACGGAGCGGCTGGAAATAAACCAGCCACCTACGCCGACTGTGGTGCCTTCGGCACAAGCATCTGCGGCTGCCTTGCATGCCAAGATTGGCTTGCTGCGCAGCGGGCATGCCAAATCGGCCTGAATTACACCTGGTGCCCTTAAGCAGCTTGAGTCTCTCAACAATACTTGACAAGGGAACCTTGAGCACAAGCACTCCTTTTCAGCACACGGGGTAGAGCATCAAAGGTAAGGAAAGGTCCTTCTCAGAAAGGGGGGGACCCCCAAAAGGAGAAAAGGGTTCACCCGAAAAGAGGGGGGTCCCCCAAGAAGGCCACAGGGGGTGAGGGCAGGCAAGCGCCCCATGTCGAGAACTCGCACGCACCCCCTGTAAACTGAGTGCTCGACCGTGTGTAGTGACCTGAGGCGGCACAAACGGACGGAAACGGCAAACGAATACGTGTGAAGAAAGGCTTGAAAGGGCAATATGTGCACTTCATGCGTAGGGAAAGAAACGGTACAACAGCAAGCAAATTTTACAGCTGCAGCTCGCTCCATAGACTGTTCCAAATGCTTGGTGTAACGTGGGACTTCTGGGATCGAAAGAAAAGTAACTGAGTTTCATCGCCTCGACTGGGGGCGTCGGCAACATTCACCTCGGTAGGGACCCGGTGGATCCATGTATCGAAGGTCATCCGTTGCTCAAGGCGTAGGAAGTGTTGGACAAGCTGGTCGGCCGCATGGTTGTCGCAGGACATGCGAATGAGAGAATGAAGTGCAGCTTCGTTCTCCACATGAAAGAAAATGGCCGTGCCTGAGAGCAGGTCTGGCCAGAGGTGAAGTGCCACCAAAATGGGAAGGATCTTGAGGTGCAAAATGCAGTGAGATCCAAAGGTCGCAAGAACTGAAAGAGCCGGGGGCTCAAAAGAAAAGTGAAAGCGGTTGCCCAAAGAAGTCCACGAGGACGCCTCCTATGGAGGGCTTGGAAGCCTCTAAGGCACCATCTGTGAAAAGATGCCAAACGAGGCGGTCCTTGCTGCTGACTGCTCTTGGCATGGAATGGACAAGAGACTGCAAACAGCGCTGTAAAATCCTCACAAGTGACGGAGGGGCTCGAGAGCCCGGTGCCAGGGCAGAAAGCTCATGTAGAGATGAGAGGCATCGTGAGTGGTATCGTCCCGATAATTGACCGTGCGCAAACTGCATGCGGCCTCTCAATCTGCGAGCCTCCTTGGGTGAGAGGGAATGGCTTGTCAAAAGCTCTTGCAAGCTAGAAGCCAGGAGATGGATTCGGGCCTTGGTGTTTGCCACCTCGAAGACCCCGCAAACTGCTCGCGTGAGGTTGAAGGCAACCCCAAGCGCCTGAAACACTGCTGCAAACGGCGGGTTCTTGGAGGGCTTGCCACTGACCTGAAAACCCAGTAAGGTGAACAAGGACCTGATCAGGTGCGTGGCAGCGTTGGCGAGTGGCTCGGGCACCACTGTCGGGAAATCGTCGTAGAAGCAAGTCCAGGGCAGGCGAAAAAGGCGAGCGCCAAGCGCATGAATGGCTAAGCTAGTGCGCAAAAACGCGTAAACCGAGGCCGAGCTGCCAAATGGCATAGTCAGCATACGGTAGCACCTCGGGCCATGCATGGGCTCGTACACGCAAATGAACAAGTGTGCCCGGTGCGCAGGCGCAATCGCCAGCTGACGGTATGCGTCCTGAAGGTCGAAGGCGCGTCCACGCCAGGGCACTTCATTGTAGCTGCAACATCTTTTGAGCAAAGCAGCGATAAAATCGGTGTCATGCAGGACGACCTTATTGGCTGAACCGACGGCAGAATTCAAAAGATTGAACGTAAAGTCGTCAATAGGCCGGCATTTGTCAGACTGCAAAACATAGAAACGCGGGCTGATGACGGAAGTTCTTGGCACGTCCGAGGCCAGGAAGGGCCCATCGAGCCAGCCCTGCTGCAACTCCGTAAGTGTAGTGTCAAAAAGTGTCTGGTCAGCTGCTGGATCATCTGTAGGCTGACAACGTGCCAGGGTGCAAAGCTGGGGCCATGCGCTCTAAGGAGGCAATGTCCACCGCAGGTGGCTGTGGATGCCTGGGCAGCTCCATTGACTCAAACAATGGGAAACCGGCAGCCAGCTCGTCAGCGATGGCAGTGTCCTGATAACCAACTGACTGCAAGGCGTGCTTGAGCAGCACAGTGCGCTTCTTGGCGTTGATGCGAGCAACACGAGCATCGCACGAGGCGAGCACCGCTTCTGACGCGGAGCAAACTCTTCGGCCAGCTGAAGCAAGGATTTGAGCCTCACTGCCCACAAGGACAGGGCATCATGTGTGGTAC